CTTTCAAAGTTTACCTATTCTGGACATTTCATTTAAATGGAATCATATAATATGTGATCTTTTGTGACTGGCTTTTTTCACTTGGTATAATTTTTTCAAGGCTCATCTGTGGCAAAGCATGTATCCACTCTTCATTTCTTTTTATTGCTGAATAATAATCATTGGGAATAATAACAATCCTATTATATGAATATAATATTTTGTTTATCTGTTCATTAGCTAATGGGTTTTTATTTGGGTTATTTTCAGCCTTTGGTTATTGTGAATAATGTTGTTATAAACATTTGTGTACAGGTTTTTGTGTGGTCATATATTTTCCTTTCCTTGAAAATGGAACTGATAGGTTATATAGTAGCTATATACTTAGCTTTTTGAGACACTGCCAAACCATATTCCAAAGGTGCTGCCACATTTTGCGTTCCCACCAACAATGTAGGAAGGTTCCAATTTCACCACGTGTTCACTGACACTTTTTATTGTCTTTTTTTTTTATAGCCATCCTAATGGATGTAAACTGGTATCTCACTGTAGTTTTGACTAGTTTTGTAATTATCAGCTATTTGTATATCTTCTTTGAAGAAATATCTATTCAAATGCTCATTTAAAAAATGAAGTTATTTGGGCTGGGGATGTGGCTCAAGCGATAACGCGCCCGCCTGGCATGCGCAGGGTGCTGGGTTAGATCCTCATAAAAAATAAAATAAAGATGTTGTGTCCACAGAAAACTGAAAAATAAATATTAAAAAAATTCTCTCTCTCTCTTCACTCTCTCTCTTTAAAAAAATGAAGTTATTTGTCTTTTTGTTATAAGGATTCTTTATATATTCTGGGTGTAAGTACCTGATTAGGTAGGTAATTTACAAACATTTTTTCAATTTTCTTTCCTTTCCTTGATAATACTGACTGTAACACAAACATTTTAAATTTCTTTGTGGTTCAGTTCATCTTTTTTTAAAAATTATATAATTTATGTACTTGGTGTCATATCTAAGGAATTGTTGGCTAACCCAAGGTCACTGAGATTTATTCCTGTTTTCTCTTATAAGAGCTTTATAGTTTTAACTCTTACATTGAGGTCTATGATTAATTTTTTTTTTATTGGTTGTTCACAACATTACAAAGCTCTTGACATATCACGTTTCATACATTAGATTCAAGTGGGTTATGAACTCCCAATTTTACCCCAAATGCAGATTGCAGAATCACGTTGGTACACATCCACAATTTTACATAATGCCCTATTAGTAATTGTAGTATTCTGCTACCTTTCCTATCCCCTACTATCCCCCCTCCCCTTCCCTCACCTATTGTTTTGTGTCTTTCATTCCTTCTATGATTCTTGGCTATTCTCTTTTGAACTATTGCTTCTTCCTCATTCTCTCTTACCTCTTTTTCTAGGACTCCAGTTATACCTATGTTGGATTATTTATTGTGCATTTTTTAAAACCCTATTCTGTTCTCTCCATTCTTTTTCTGTGCTTCAGTTTAGGTGTTTCTCCCCCCTCCCTCTCTTTCTGCATTTCAACTTTAGGTATTCTGTTGTTTTTATTCATTGAATTCTTGATTTCAGATACTATATTTTTAAATTTAAAATTTTTCCATTGATTCCTTTTATGGATTCTAATAAAATTCTGTCCCTTTTAATCCATTTGTCCACTTTTTCTTCAATTTTACAATCTATTGCTTTATTCCATGTTAGTTATTTTACTGTTCTTAAGATTTCAGTTGATCTGGCTTATCTGTAGGTCATCTGTTATCTGCTTTTTCTCCTCATTATTGGACAAAAATTTCCTATCCTTTTTATGTCTTATAATTTTTTACATGTCACATTTTTAAATAAAAAAATACAGACAATATAGATATTATTTCTCTGTAGAAATGGAAAGAGACAAATGAGTTGAAAGTCTGTTTACTTCAGTTCAATCAGGGACGCAGAGGTTTGGGACTGGGTTGCAGTAAGACTTGATCTACTTGTGGTTTCTCTCTATTCTTCATGTGTGATTCCTCTGAGATTTCAGTTGAGAGCCAGGAAGGTGACTATCTCCTCTGTCCTGGAGATTCAGTTTTGTCTTTGAGAGGTTTTAAACTTTGTTAGCCTCCTATTCATACAACTTCAGAAATATTTGCAAATGTCTAGAGTGGAGAGAATACCTGGGTATTCAAGACAGATTCTTCCTTCTGGTAGAGTTAATTCTCCATGCTGGTAGAATGTGGGGTGATTTTATTCTAGTTATTAGGCCCAGCCTCTCAACTTCCTTAACAAATGTCTTGTGGGAAAATTGGTTATATGTTTGGGGCTTCCTATGTTTCCACATGACACAACTCACATGACTATGAATGTTTTTCTGGTTTTTTTTTTTTCTACTCAGAACAAGCTTGATGGGGCCAGGGCCAGAATCGGTGAATGTGACAGGTGAAGAAGACAGCTCATGGTGATCAGTTCATTAAGTTCAGGCATTAGCAAAAGAAGAGTCATTCAATGCAAAGTTCCTTGTGGCATAATGACTAAGTATGTGAAGATGCAAAACTAAGAGTTTATAACATGAATGTCACTGTGATTTTGGCAGGGTCCTGGACCAGCAAGTACATCATCTCAGAATGGACTAGTGTTATTGGAACTGAGGAAAAGGAATCTTCAAGAGAAACACCTTATGTCAGTGAGAAGCACTATACTGAAGAGATGCCCATTTTGTGTCTGCTTAGCCCTAAAAAGGGATGGTCTCCGTGTAGATAGAATATGTCCCTGGCAGAACTCTGACAATATAAGGTTACAGATCAAGAGGGAAATAATAGCTCCCAAAAGATCAGGGTAAGATTCCTGGATTTGTGGCAATATGGTACCAGTTTCAAATGTTATGTTGCACTTCTTATTTAATCATCTAATGATTAAATAAGAAAATATGGATGCTAGGATGTTACATAAAAGTAATGCTTAACACCATAGCTTTCAGATTATTTTGATGTTTATTTAGGGACTTGGTGAAGATGACTTTTCCTTTAAGAAAACTGATACATCACAAGAAAAAAAAAACCTAAAAATAATAGTAAGGAAAATGTGGTAGCAGGTATTTGCAAGATTCATCTCAACTAATTGGTTACTGTCAGATACTATACATTATGCTCAGCACTGGAGATACACAGACAAGGTAGTATCTCTTACTATGAATTAAATGTGGTGTCCTCCTGAAAGTCATATGCTGAAGCCCTTATCTCCAATGACATGGAATTTGGCGGTGGGGTCCTTGGATGGTTTATAGGAGTTTATGAGGAATTAGTGCCTTTTTATATGAAATATAAGATGTCTCTGTACCCCTCACTGTTCCTGGCCATGTGGGGATATAACAAGAAGGCAGCCAACTGAGAAACAGGGGCTCTTTACCACAACCTAGGCATGCTGGCACCATGACCTGGGACTTCCCAAATTTCAGAACTGTTGTGAAATACTGTTGTGTAAGTCACCCAGTCTGAAATATTTTGTTATAGCAGCTACAGAAGACTTAGACACTCCTGCTCTGGCATCTTTGAAAGGCCAATTTCATGATAGATTAAAATGTGGTGAATTCAAGAATATGTATTATTTTAAAGCAAGATATACTTGCATTTGTTTATAACATTTAAAAATATTTTCAAACTCTGTGCTAAGTCCTAAGAGTTGCAACCTAATAGTCTTTAACTTTTATCAAACATAATTTATTCTTACTATGAAAGCAAAAGTAGGGTTATAATCATCCTGTTGAGGATAGCACAGTGGCACTTGCCTGTAATTCCAGCAGCTCAGGAGGCAGAAGCAGGAGGGTCATGAGTTCAAAGCCGGCCTCAGTAAAAGCAAGGCACTAAGCAACTCAGTGAGATGTCTCTAAATAAAATACAAAATAGGGCTGGGGATGTGGCTCAGTGCTCAAGTGCCCTTGAGTTCAATCCGCAATACCTAATAATAATAATAACAACAACAACTATAACAACAATAACCCTGTTGAGCTCGATTTAAAAGGCCAGATCCAAGAAGTGAAAAAGCAAGGGACCAAATTTATCTAACTCAAGCACTTCAACTTAGGCAAGCTTTTTGTTTGTTTGTTTGCACTTACTTTTTCAATAACAGTAGCAAATGAGAGAGGAGAAATGTGAGAAAGGTAAAATGAAATAAAGTTTACATAAGAGAACAACAGTGGTGGAGGAAAAATATTTAAAAGGCACTGAACAGAAACAACACAAGACCAGAAGGTGAGACATTGTTACGGAAAAAAAGAAAAAAAATAGGTTTTTAGCCCTAGATGTCTTTCTTTTCTCAATCAAGAAAAGAACTCCAAAGTGGATAAACTACACTTCTGAGACTATGATTGAGTCACCATTGTGAATTCTCCCAATTGCCTATTTTATGGTGTTATGCTGGTAAATCTTAATTTATAATTTGAGCTATACTTTTTGTCTTGGTTAGGATTCCTTTTCTTCTCTCAAAAAGATAGCCTAAAACTGGTGTCTTGGCGCACATCTGTGATCCTAGCAGCTGTGAAGGCTGAGGCAGGAGGATGGCAGGTTGGAAGCTATCTCAGCAGCTTAGTGAGGATCTAAGCAAGTCAATGAGACTTGTCTCAAAAAAGAAAAAGAAAAAAAGACAAGACTGGAGATGAAACAACAACAACAAAACTGTAGACTACTCACTACGTTTGTCTCCTGTTTTAGGTATTGGTTCAATTCCTCCTACCTGTGCTGTATGGAATAAAAGCTACAATCAATATTCAGGCTTCTTTATGCTTTTAGTGTTCAATAGCGGAGGGCAAAACGGAAACCTACAGGTGGGATCTTCCTGGTGGATGCGTGATGTTTAACTGTCCAATCTTTTAAAAGACCTGTGTAAACACACTTTACACTTCCTAGCTGAGCGCGAGCACCAGAGACAACTCTCCTGGAGGCCTAGATCTGGGGCGCTTAGCGTCCTTACTTCCGGCCCCGCCCCTCTCCGCAGTTGCTAGGAAACGTGATGTCACCGGAAGCGAGGCCTGCGATAGGCTGAGGCGAGGGGAAGCCTCTCCCCCTCTGAAACCTCAGCGCCCCGGCGCTGGCTCTCCAGCTGTTTGTAGGCCTAGGGGTGAGGGTCCCCGGAAGGGAGAGCCGGCTGCGGCCCCGCCCGCGCACCCGCGGGTCCGGTCGTCCGCTCCCACCGTTCCTGTGCTCCAGCTGGCACCGGCCGCCTGGCTGGTGACTCTCGAGAGGCTGCCCGCTCTTCTGACTGACAGGCACAGCTCCCACAGCCGGCGCTGCCCGCCACGTCTTGGGTCTCGGCCGACAGCACTGCGTGGCGGGTGACCTTTCCGAGCCCCGAGCGATGTCTGCTCCCAGCTCCGTGCTGGCGCGGGTTCCTCAGCGCCGCAGGCTCGTGCGGTTCTCGACCCCGCTGCCGCGGTGCCCGCTGCTGCTGCCGCTGCTGCTGCTGGCGGCCGCGGTGCCGGCGCGCGGCTGGGAGAGCGGCGACCTAGAGTTGTTTGACTTGGTGGAGGAGGTGCAGCTCAACTTCTACCAGTTCCTCGGGGTGCAGCAGGTAAGAGCGAAAGCGCGCGGGTCCGGGCGGACAGGCGCGCTGAGGCGGACTCTGATCCTGTTCCTCCGAGGGAGCCGGGTACCGGGGACTGGATGTGCTCACTCCCGGCTCTGCTGCCATCCTCAGCCCAATTCACCGGCGTCTCCTCGGAACTGTAGCGTGGCAAGGGTTTCGTTCACTTTTCCAGTTTTTCACCCTTGCTGCAACTTCTCAAGTTCCGGTCTCAGTGACAGGCTGGATGGCGGTGATACCTCCTCTTTGCTCTGGCATTCTAGGCAGGATCCTCTCCCCCGTCCCCATTCCCACTGTACAGGAGGAAGAAGGAAAAGTAGTGCGGGTAGAGGTTTTTATTCTTATTTCATCTGCCTCCTTTCCTCTTCCTTTCTGAGAAACATAGGCTCGCATTTTGGCCAGTGTTTGTATAGCAGAAGTGTTTGTTTTGCACTGTACTTTGTAATCTTTTCAGCCTGTTGGATAGGGGTTCATATCACAGTTTAGAAATCTGGAGGAATTGAAGCCTCCACCAGGTTGGTCCTGGGACTCACAGGAGAAGCCATGAAACTTTCAAGGCAGTAGATTACTTGGGGTGCTGCTGGAAGAGATGCTCAGCTATTATCGCAGAATCTGTTACTTTGTCTTTCCTTTGATTTCCTTTCGTTTAGCTTGAAACGTTAACTTGTGAAATCCGTTTGTTGCCCTTTATTTCTACCATCTAGGATGGAAGAGTGAAGGTAATTATTCAGTCTACATGAAACTTTGTGCCAAGAAAAAGATGACTTTTCACTGACTTCAGAATTGTGGAGAGTGAAAGAATTTCACACAATCTCATTTTAGTCCTTTATACAATGCTTTAAATAGTTATGTGAGCAGGGGAAAAAAAAGGAAATTTACCAACAGTTGTCATTCAAGATGAACTTAACTAACTAGATGAAATGCACATTCCCCCCTAGATTACTAAAAGTTTGGGTGAACTGTTGAACTTTTAAATGGAAATTTAATTTTTCATTTAAATCAAACAATTAAATGGAAATTTAATTTTCCAGCATTGCATTTTCATCCCACTGTTGAATCTAAAATTGCTAGGTTGTCATGGCACCACGAGTTTAACAATTTTCATTTTTGAGAATTATAAAAAACAAGTATTTTACTCTTAAAATTCTAATATGCAAATAATTTTGTAATACTATGAAGTATCATCTGGTGCCATTTCCTGCTCCAAAATATTTGTCATTTCATAGTAAATGACGATGCAATATGTGTAATAATAATTAGTTAAGCTAAGTTTTTTTTTTTTGAGAGAGAGAGAGAGAATTTTAATATTTATTTTTTAGTTTTTGGTGGACACAAGATCTTTGAATGTGGTGCTGAGGATCGAACCCGGGCTGCACACATGCCAGGCGAGTGGGCTACCGCTTGAGCCACACCCCCAGCCCAAGTTAAGCTAAGTTTGAAGACTAATTTTTGAGAAGTCATTTAATATAGAGAATAATTATTTAGAATTCATTGGTAAATTCTGTAGCTTATACATAACCTAATTTTTTAAAAATCTTGAAGATACTTTACAGTTATTCTTGGAGATTAAGGTATACAAAATTTTAGAAGTAGGGGCTTAAAATTTCCAATTGTGTAATCCAGCATTGCATGTGCACTCTCATAGTTTTCATTTATAATTTCATGCAGCTTAATTTTCAGTTACTTCAGAGTGTGAACAACCAGAGCACTTCAATGTATGAGCAAACACGGGGAAGTAAAGAAGCATTGATAATGGAAAAGATTCTTTGTCGAGGTAGAATTGAAAAGAATAATTTAGAAAATTATTTTAATTTGTGTTTCTCTCTCCTACTATGTTGAAATTGGACAGAAAGTGAGAAGAAACTTTTAATTAGAGAAATGGATTGGAACAAGTTCCTTATTTGAATCTTAACTTTTCTTGGAAATCTTTCAGAGACCAAATATTTGGTAGAGACAAATGCAGCCTGTTTGAGATCTTTAATGTATAACTTTCAAGCCTTAGCTAAGAGGTCTCTTGGTAACTACACAGACATTTGGGAACAGGACAAAGTAGATAGAATACTCAAAGTGGAGACTTGATTCTATGCACTTACCAGTTTTGTTATTATTCATTCAACAGAGATTTATTTGGTGTCTGCTGAATTTTTAAACACTAAGAGTAGTCCTTTATATAAAGCAATACTCCTGACCTCATGAAACTTAGGAAAAAACTTAGTAAGAAGGAAAACAGGTAAACATAAGTATATGGTCAGAGAAGGTAAGTCTAGTTTTGGGGGGCTTTTATAACAAAGTACCATAATTGGATAGCTTTCAAAAACAGACATTTCTCATAGTTCTGGAGGCTGGGAAGTGGAAAATCAAGGTGCTGGAAGGTTCTATGTCTGATGAACGCCTTCTGGTTTATAGATGGCACCTTCTTATTGTGCCCTTACATCACTAAGATGTGAGGCAGTTCTTTAGGACTTCTTTTATAAGTCCTCTAATCCCATGCATAACTGCTCCAACCTTATGGCCTAATCACCTCTCAAATGCCACTTCATAATATATTGGAAGTTAGGTTTCAACATAGGAATTTTGGAGGGATTCAGCTATTCAGAACATAGCATGCTCTTCAAGGAAGAGCAGAGACAAATGCAAAGACCTTGAGGCAGGAGCTTGCTTAGTGTTTTAGGAACAGCAAGGCAGCCATCGTGGCTGGAGCAGAGTGATGGAGGAGAACAATAAGAGGAGATGAGATCAGAGTCATAAGTGGTAGAAGAAGATCATGTAGGGCCTTACAGGCCACTATAAAGATTTTGGCTTTTACTTATAAGTAAGTTGTGGGCCCAGTTGAGAGGGGTGGCATTGAAAAGAAGAGATGTGTGAGTTGAGTTAAATTTCAAAATGAGCACTTTATTGTGTTAAAGATAGTCTATAAGGTGCCAATTACTTGGAGGAATAATTGTGGTATAGAATGTAGAATAGACGTGGGTGATGCAAGTGGTCAGATTCTGGATTTAATGTGAACATAGAAGTGACAGAATTTTCCTGATGGTTTGAAAAGTGGTGTGTGTGTGTGTGTGTGTG